TCGTAATGATGGGTGCACGTATAATACTATAAAACAATACGAGGTTAATCAAAATAAAGATGAACACGCTTGACATTTCAGGATATAAAAAATTTATTATACGAATATTTTAAGAGTTCCTGCTCTCTTCATCAGCTTAAACCGTAGGCCTACTGAACAAACAGTATAATCAAAATCAATTTTTGATTTGAGGGTTTTGATTAACCTCGTATTGTTGGTATAATTGAACAAACCTCAATGGCGAAGTTTGTCGTCTGCCAAAGGCTCGGGTTCGAAACCTGGTTGGGACAACTTTAATTTTTTTTTAAAGTATACTTCTCATATCAATAATTATTATAACAACAGCCATTGTAGTTGCTGCTTGCAGAAGTATAAACTTCGAGGTATGGGGAAAGTTCAATGATCTTCCGCCTCAACTCTAAGCTCCCTCAACTAGTCCCTAGTTGGCGGCGCTCTACCCAAATATGGTATCTGCTGGCGGGGTAATGACGTCAGGGTTACTCACCATGGCGGAGGGCGATCTGAACGTAGATGCAATTATTACACAACTTTTAGAAGGTAATTTATACTTACTGTTGACATTTTTTTAACGTTAATTTGGTACTTGAGATAGTAAAGTTACATTCTTACCTAATATTATGATTATTTTAGAGAAAATGTAGTGTTTTATGCATTTTCTTTCATTCTAACTTTCGAGGGCGTAGGCCCTAGGCCTTACTTCCTTGGCGATGACAGGATAGCTGAAATAGTGTTTTCGGCACTTCCCATTGGTTGCGCCGACGGAGATGTTTACAACATTTAGGCGTAGGCCTAGGCCTATGCTTGGTCTATTGAACTTTGATAATGTTTCTTAGCTTTGATTTCAATAAATTGTGTGGTTGGCGACAATGAATGCTATTTGATAGTAATAATCTGTGTTGAAAGGTGCTAGGCCTAGCCTTGTTATGGCCTAGGCTAGCTTACACAGTAAATGAATTGAATGAGTGAGTGTGTCACAGGTGGCTAGGCTAGGTGTGGCTAGATGCTTAAAAGCCTACATATTACAACCTAGGGAGGTGTAAGGGGTGGGGGGATAAGCTTGTATGTAGTGGTTGTGCTAGGCCTAATATTTATGCTTTGTTTAATTATTGAAATTACTTTACTGATGATATTTGGCAGTATCCTATGTAATTAATTTTAAACTACAGGTTGTCAAAAGGTGAACAAGGTTTCTGACAAATAATAAATCATTAGTATCACTTATAAAAGAATGCCCAAGTGAATTGCAACATGATTTACATATTAATTTTCATTTTTTCTCTGAATATCAATTCAGATTTTTTTTTCTGTGCTGTAAAATACATTGAGGCTTTTAGAAAGTAAGTAAAAAAGCAGGAAATATTATATAAAGTATTTGTAGAAAAATTATATCTGTAAACTGATTGGAGTTGATAGTTGTTTGTTCCATAATCCTTATGTTGGCGGCAGCCTTCAATTTTTAAAACCTTGTATTCTTAAGAATTTTGAACACGTTTTCCATTTTTAAAAACATTCTTCATATACACTCCAACATTGGCTGGCAGACCATTTTAAGGATTTTGTATTTTAAGAAATCTATAAAATAAAGAAAACTGAATGTTTGCAATCTTATTTTGTCACTGGAAATTATTTAGTTCATGAAAAATCAAATCTGGATCGGTAATTGCCAAGGAGGCATCACATTAATAGTGTTTAGTTTCATACTGTCACTGGATATAGAATCTGTCTTGTTTATATTATTATGCATATTTTACTGTTGTTACAATGATTTTAAAAAAGCATTTTAATACCATGGATATAATAATTTATTATTGAATGTTTGGTTTTAGTTAAACACAGTTTTAAACTTTTCAATTTGTTTTCAATCACAGCTCGGGGTTGTAAACCAGGCAAACAAGTGCAATTATCAGAAGCAGAAGTAAGAGGATTATGTGTGAAATCAAGGGAAATCTTTCTTAGTCAACCAATCTTACTAGAATTAGAAGCGCCGCTTAAAATATGTGGTAAGTAAAGAATGAAATGCAAGTGGTATGTTCCTATGAAAGTCTTATCAGTTGAACAGCTTGGTAGTTAAGATGCTTGCCTTCTATTTCTAGGGTCCTGGTTAAAATCCTGTGACAGGAATTTATTTTTCTCATAACCAAAGCATCTCTACACTCTCTCTTTTTTTATGAGATTTTGTGGTTAAAAAAGCAAAACTAGGGCCTTTGGGAGAATAGTGGGTATTTACTGAATCAAGTATTAATGAGGGGAAAAAAGATAAATAAATAATTTAAAAAGTATCATTATTGTTATGAATATTTTTTAATTGATATACTAAATGTTCAGTTGTGGTGAGAACCTTCATTGATTTTTAGTTGTTCTTTTATGTATTGCGTATAATCAAGTATTAGGATTTTCTTGATGTGAACAGGAATAAAGATTAATAACTTGACATGAATTCCTGTTGGTGGTTTATAAGATTTAGAATGTTGGAAACATACTTCCTGTCCTATTGAATTTTACATATTAATGCAATGGTTGTGTTTAGTACTTGGATATTGCTTTAAGCTTGTGAATTATTGATTACTCACATAAAAACTGTTCATATTCGACCCTAAGATCTTCAAAATAATAATAAAAGAAAAATTTAACTGTGCCTATACAACTGGTATAAAGTACAGTACTATCTAATTGGATTAATTACAATAGCTTATCAGTGATATAATCATCACTTTTATGTGTTGAAATGATTAGTGTAACATTAATTAAAATGAGAACATAAGGAATGATAATTAGTACAATATATTTTCAAATCATCTCGTATTGAAACAGTAGGTTGATTAATTAAAATAAACATTCGCAACCACGGCATGGCAAGAACCACGCACATGCAGGGAACGATGGGCCTTGTCATGTGTATACAGATGTTCAACAAATTTCATTCCTTAGGATTCATGTTTTTAAAGGGTGAACTGTCAAAAGTGATTTCAAATCAAGTGATATTGTCGTGGTTTCAGTTGATGATGACATCGTTTTAATAGACACTGGAAACATAACATAAAATAAAGTTGCATATAGGCCCCCCTCCTCCTACCCATTTTTATATTTACCCTTGACTTAAACCTTATTTTGTGAGTGGCCCATTCAGGAATTTACTAATCATTAGCAGACTTATTATAATATTTATAAAAAGGTAAGATAACAAAAAGTAGCACTTTCCTACTTTTTACTTACCATTTTATGTATTAGATTACAGTAGTATGGCTCGTCATTTTATTCATAATAATTATATTAATTTTATTAGTAGTACTTATACTTTTAAAAAATGACAATTAAAGTCAACTAATTACTGCAGTGTAAGCAGAACTAAAAACATGATATTTTGTAATTAAATACTCAGGTACTGATAATCAATATTATGATGTAATAAACTATAAATCACAGGTGTTCTGACCGTTTTGCATCTGTTGGTCTCTGTTACTGGCTAATTGGATAATGTTTCTCAATGGCATACCATAATATGCCTGTATGGTAAACCTTTTTTATCATCATACAGAACAAGGACTGTTGATTATTAAATTTTAAATTATTTTTATTGAAGAATTAATATTATTTACAGTAAATTTATTTAATATTATTAATATTTTATGATTTTAATTTTCTTTTTTAATCCTTTCTCCAAAAATGTTTACTGTGATGTGATATTGTATTGTCATACAGTAATATAGTCTACAGTATCTTCTTTGGTAATCACTGATGACTCTTACTGTATGAATGGTAAATGTTTGTATTTCAGATTCCTGGATGTGCCACTGATTTCAGTTTGAGATAGTTACATGTTCACTTTTGAACACTATTTATGTTTGCCATGGCTGGCAATATGAATAGGCCTACCTGTAGACTGTAGCATGAGGAGTATGCATGTGAAGTGTTTGTACATGTAGAGCATCTCATTTGCTGTCATTACAAATATAATTTGAACTTCAAATATCTATCATCATCATTGAGGTGACTAGTTCCAATACAGTTGTACATGAGCAAGCAATGGCTCAAGGAAGGGGAACCTCCTATATATCACAGTTGTGTTTAACATTGATGGAAATAATATAGGCAAGGAACTGTTTGGACTATAGTTTAGGTATTTAGTGACTATGTGTACTATTTAGAAATTATTTTTAAATATAGAATTAAGCTATTTTAAGTGGTGTTTATAGAATTTTAAAAAGTATAATATTGAATCTATCGATTAATAGCCAAATTATTTAATAAAATACAAAGAATATTAAAAGACTAGTACAGTAATACAAATATCAAAACAACATTTGTATATATAAATATATAATTAAGCTATTTTAAGTGATGTTTATAGAAGTTTAAAAAGTATAATATTAAATCTATTGATTAATAGCCAAATTAGTTAATAAAATACAAAGAATATGAAAAGACTAGTACAGTAATACAAATATCAAAACAACATTTGTATACAGTATATAAAAATATAATTTAGTACATTGTTTAAATAATGAATTAATTTAAAATCTTTAAAAATCACACTGTCAGTTTTATTAATTTCTTCATGTTCTGTATTGAATTTGATTTTCATTCCAATTTTGTATTGCTGCAATGTTAGTAAGTCTGCAATTCACATTTTAAATATTTTACTTTACCTATGTAAGCTGTAAAATTGAGCATTAATAAAATTGTCAAACCAAGATAAATTACCATTTGACTACTTAACGAACATGCCACCAAAGCCGCCAATGCTGGATTTGTTTCAAGTGCACATACTGCAGTTTCAGCACATATCTTGAGTCAACATATTATATTTGATTTATAGTTTAACACTTAAAACATCTTTTAAAATATTGTTGGAAGGTGATGATAACTAGCAAGAGATCTACTGTACTATGATTCTGATACAGAGGCTGCATTAGTGTCAAAATCAAAGTGCATTTCTTATGTTACTGTATAGTCATGTGGACATACTAGTATTGTAATTGATTCAATATGACATTAAAATTTAATAGAAAACTGAAATTCAAAGTTACATCATGTGATTCAATTTATTCCTAACAAATGAAGTAAAATCGGTCAAAAATATATAGGGCCGAAGAGCTACAGTACCAGTACTAGTTATAAAAGAATGGTTACCAAGTCTGTTAAACCTAAAAATAAGAAAAGAAAAAAAAAAGTAAGATAAGAGCAAAAATTATTTAATGACGGGGAAATTTTAAGAGTTTATAATTTGGTATTATTCCATTTTCTGTGTGTGTTTTATATAGTCGGAAACATTTTGTGATGAATTTTTAAAAACTTAAAAAAAAAAACCATTTTCCTCAAACAGCGATTTACCACATAAAATAATGTTATTATTATGAGACTTACAGTAGACAGTGAAGTTGTTCTTAGCAGTAATTTTATTAGGTGTCCTGGTGCCTGCTGGATTGGAACCCAAGATAATAGTGTTAGAAGACGAGCAACTAATCACCTATTATAATCTGTTTTCCCCACAAATGCATACAAACAAATCCAGTAAAAGAAAAATAGGCTTTATATATTATACTCTGTAGGTTTTGACTGCCCATACAGTATTACCGTAGGCCTACATTCCAAAATTTAATATTTTCTAGTTTCATGTTCATATGATGCTGAACATTAAATAACATACACAGTATTACTCAGCTGTGGATATAAGAGGTCCTTATATCAGCAATACACTGCACACTTTTGTATTTACCCATCTCTATTAGATGAATGACTGAATCTCCAGTATCAGGCCTTATGCCCCAGTGCATGCTGGTCTACATTCTTAGCATTCTTGAGTTATCATCTGGCTTGTATTAAACAGGTTACTATTCTTTGATTATGATGAAGGAATATTATTATAATATAAGTTTATATATTGGTCACCTCTTTAAGCTGGAAACTAGAATGTAAGATGACACCAATGATATATTAATATTATATAATTATTAATATTTCATGTCCCACAAAGTCAGTTAATGTAATACTCTTTAATTTTATGTTTTTTTTATATTAATATTTAAGTGCTTTAATAATGTAATTTTTTTTTAATTTAAGAAAACCAGGTTCCTATATGCTAGTGGAAAATGTTAATGAGTTACAGTATTTTTAACAAAAGTATGTGTGTAAATTTTAAGATGTGATTTTCTTATGTACAGGTAGTTAGTGGTGACGCTCCAATAGTAGTTGGGTATAAACATCAAATTCAATTTTTGGAATAATATAAATTGCTTTTAGGTGCTATAATAATGCATTTTTTTATAATAGAAAACTAAGTCCCTGTGTACTATGTCAAATATTAAGAATTAATTTTAACAAAATTTTGTGAATTTTAAGAGGTAATTTTATTTCATTTTGTATAAAACTACTTTATTAGTGGTGACGCTTTTAGTTAGGTATAAACATCAAATGTAATTTTTAAAATAATGTTTATCGCTTTTACATAATATAATATTGAGTACATATTCATACACCAGTTGATGAACTGTATAGTTAATGCAGGTGAATAATAGCAATTGAATAAGTTTGTAATTGTATGAATGATCGTTTACTCTCCTTACAATACTGTAGGTCACATGTAGTTCAGTAGAGTCAGGTTTTATGCATCAGGATATTTTACGGTTCTTTAAAAATCACATTTTTACACTTCCTCATGCAAAGTAGCATCCAGGCCGTATCTCTCTGAACCATTTAAATGTAGTAAATTATCTGTTTTATATTGAAATTTCTTACACAATTTTGACTTAACGCTGTCACTGAATTTCCATAATCAGAGATGTTATGTTGACTCTTGATTTTATATGAAATGTGTTGAAATATTTGAAATTTATAGGTTGACAAACCAATAATTACCGTAGTTCAAGGTAGTAGAGCCTACAGTACTTGCATTCACATACAGTGAACAGGCCCGTATCCAGGGGGTTTTTAATGGTTCGGGAAAACCCCCCTTTTCTAGCAAACCCCCCTCTTTTCCGGCAAACGCCCTCTTTAAATTTCTCAAATAAGTCCTCCAAACCAACTAATGCGCTGCAGACCCACCAGACACAGACATTTTCAAACATATCTGCTTTTATAAGCATTATTTAGACCCATAAAGCACAAAAATTCTCTTGCTTTGGGGGTTTCACCGACCCCACCGGGGCTTCGACTGTGGACCTCACGCCCAGAAAACCCCATCTTGGATGAACCTGGCTACGGGCCTGGTGAATCAATTTCAAAGTACTTTTGATGCTGTAGCACTTGCACAGCAAGCATTCGTGTCACCTTTCCGACAATGGCCCAGCCCCTCACCTATGTCCACCTCCCCAATCTTACACCATCACTGCTCTGATAGGAACCCCCTAAAGGAATCCGAGGACCTGGTTTATTCCAGATTGTTTTTTATATATTCAAATATTGATTTTGACCTGGGGAACAAGCCACGTTTTGGAATTGATGTATTTTTTTACTTTTACCTAAAAAGAAGCGAGGGATAGTTCAGCCATAAAAAATAGCTCTTCAAAATTATTCCTGTACTTTAATATACATGCACCATAATTTTATAAAATTTATTGAACCAGGAGCCCATATTTTCCTTGAATCTTCACTTTAAATTTGATTAAAAATGATAAATTTACATATTTCTTTTACAGGTGACATTCATGGACAATTTACAGATTTGCTCAGGTTATTTGAGTATGGTGGTTTTCCCCCAGATTCAAATTACTTGTTTATGGGGGACTATGTGGACAGGGGAAAGCAATCTCTCGAAACTATATGCCTCCTCTTGGCGTATAAAATAAAGTATCCAGAAAACTTCTTCCTCCTTCGTGGCAACCATGAGTGCGCCAGCATCAACAGAATTTATGGATTTTATGATGAATGTAAGTGGTTTCTTTATTAATTATGTACCGTATTTATTTGAATATACGTCCCGGGTTGTTTATTGTTGGGTGGGTTTTTGAGGGGACGTTTATTTGACGGGAGGTGTTAATTTGTTAAGTGGATACAGTACGTGTATACTCAAATTAACGCCCGTAACTACAACACATAAATTGCCATTAAAATGTGTTATATCGGAATCATAAAGACTTATTGATCCCAATCAGGTTTGAAAAAATTTAATCCTACTCGAGTAGAACATTAATAGAAGGTTTTAAGAATGATTTTGCCTCAATTACGTTGTTTACAGTCATTTAGGGAGCGTTCTGTTCAAGGAAAAATAAAATGCCTCAGGGCATTTATTCGAGGGAGACGTTTAGTCCAAATAAGGCTCTAGAAGAGGAATTTAATCGAAGGGGTGTTATTCACAGCATTGCATTTATTCCAATAAATACGGTACTTGAAAAATTGGTTGTAGAGCATAGCTGCTTCCTAACCTTATTACAAAGTTATTGCTTCTATCAAGAACAGAAATTCAATTAGACTATTCTTTTATATGCAGGTAAGCGACGATACAACATTAAATTGTGGAAGACTTTTACCGACTGTTTTAACTGCCTGCCTATTGCAGCCATAGTAGATGAGAAGATTTTCTGCTGTCATGGAGGTAAGTGTCTGACTATGTTTTTTACCATGTTTAATTTATTTAGCAGGTTATGTATTTAGTGAGACCAGAAATGTAATCATCATCAATCATCAATTTCTTAAGCTGCAGTCGCATTGGACTTCAAAATTGAAGGTTTTACATTGTCCGTGGGTAACATTCCAATGAGTAAATCTGTCCTGACTTGGATTTTTTTAGTCACTGCTTCTAGCGAGAAACAGATTGAAAGAATTTCATTTTTCCATACTTTTTACAGACAAAAAGCTAAGAAAACATCAGTATCATTTAAGCAAATAAAAATTACATTTTGGAGTTGAGTTGAATATCTTGGTGGTTAAGATGATGCTTGCCTTTCAATCCCATTGCTCTATGCTCAATTCATGTCAGTGTTGGAGGAAGACTAAAACAACCCAACTCCATAAGCCTCATATTGAGATTTAGTGCGTGTACTGTAAAGCATTGTGTGTGTATGTTCGTCTTGTGAAAGGGATTCACACTAGAAGTATGACAGTGATATATTTGATATTGGCAATCATTGGTGCATGTGTTGTGTGTCAAATTAAATAAAAACAAACAAATAAATTTTTATATGAGTCAATTTTCATATGACCTTTGACATAATGCTAGTACACTTACTGTAAAAGGCAAAAGGATACTTTTAGGTGTATTCTAGCATTGACAACAATATCAGCTTCATTTTTTTGCCTCCATGTTTTGTACATGGTTTTATTGATTTGAATGGCGTGAATACAAGTTTTAGATAGTTAGTTACAATAATGCCATTGAAGTGCTAACAAAGAAATATACAATTTGACTGATTTTATATGACATCTATTTCAATACAATTAAGCCTACAGTATGTAGCCATAATGATATGAATATATAATGCAAACATTCCCTGGAAATGAATTCAAAATTTAGTCTAGGAACACACTCAAGATTAGGAATTTATTTTATTTGTATCAAAACTATGTACATCTATAAAGGAATTTCCAGTTACTAATTATTAAAATTGAAATAATTACAATTCCTAAATAATTTTATCCTGATCCTTAAATTTTCTCATTAGAATTTTATAACTTGCTTCTTCTCTATCATAATGAGCTAGTAATATTGTTTAATAGATTTTCCTGATTTAAAAATTAAACTGCATACAGAAAAATTTACATCAGAACATTTTCCCATGCTTTAGATTTTAACTGTCATTCACAAGGAAATGACGCATGAATAGAAATTATGTCTATTGTGTAATTAGAAGGTCAAATATTTTTACTTACAGGTACTATGTAAATACTAATCTTCCACCCTTTTTAACATCAGGGTCTTAAAATAAATATTCTATATTCTATACTATTGCTCAAATTACAAATTTTGAAAAATTGAGAAATAATTTGCGTTAAAATTTAACATCCTAGTATGGATCCTAGTCTTTTTTGCGAATCCACCCCAAAACTTGATGCAATTAATGTTCAAGGTAGTGCTAGAGCTTAGCTGACTCCGTATTATTTTCAAGGCAGTAGGCTTTTCCCAGTCTACTTGACTTAATTTTGTGTTCACAGGGATAGGTTTAGCCCACCTAAACATGACTCACTTAAAATGTGTACACTTGAGGAAGACATTTATTTTGGTTTTGTTAAATAGGTAATAATACACATAAATCAATGCCCATTTCTTTTCACTGAACATAATACACATTAGTGTTATTGTAATAACTATATAAGAACCAGGTTAGATATTATTTATACTCTGGTCTGAGAATAAAGAAATGGTAGTAGAATTGTATTAAGAATGGTATTTGCTTTGTTTAATTATTTTTTGAAGAATAATAATCTGGGGAAAAAATAATTATGTGAGAAATTTTGTGTTTTAAAAAACTAATTAACTTGACCTTTACTTAACAGTAAGTTTCTCACATCAAATTTACAAACCAGATAAATATTTTCAACTATGTAAAAATTAATTAATATTCAGGAAGGAAGGGGACATATATTCAAAGTAGGGCATTTCAAATAAGTACCGTAAAAGTGAGTATTAAAGCAAGTAAATGATAGAATGTCCAGTCTTATGTAATAACCTGTTACTAGTGCATTGATCAGGAAAAGGGTAGTGATTGGCACGTTGCTATTGTAGCTGTCTTTGCATAATGCTAGAAACCAAAATGCGTAATTTGATGCAACATAAACTAGTACTTCGTATTTGCTTAACCGGCAAACTCAAAATAGAATACTTTTGATTTAGTATGAGATATGGTTGATCTCATTGACCTGTTACATTAGCAATAGCATAGCCTAAAGCCTAGCATACACTATATCAGATGCTTGTCAAACTCAAAAGTAATAGTCTAATCAGACATACATACATACATACAATATGATTTATTTATTCTCCCCTTTACAACAGAGGAACATTAACATAAGGAGAGGTTCAACTCGGCATCAGTGACATATCTAAGGGGGACTTGGGGGCGTACGCTCAAATAGTTAACATTCGCCTCATATCAACTTAGGTATGCCACTGCCCGGCGTATACTTGAATTTTGTCTTTTAAGATATTGATTTTGATATTTTTCAACAAAGTGACCAAATTGATTTTTATTAGGATTCCTTCTATACAATAATATAATTATTCAAATTCATACATTTGAATCAATTAGCTACAGTACAACATTTATAAAATTTACATACATTTATCAGAATTTGATTAGAGAAGTTGATATTGATACTAAGAATTATCGATAGTACAAAAAGCAAAAACCATGCAAACTGCAGCTCTGTGAATCTATTTTTAGAATCGACTTCTGTTGTACAGGATAAGCATATTTCAGTGAATTAGACCCAGATAATTGTTTGCTTTGAGGAGATAATTTTAATTATTATTTATTATTATGGTATACCAGTATTTATGCGCATACCTGTTGGCACCTAATATTTCCTATCAATTATTGTAATAATAATATAAAAATTTTATTATTTAAAATTATGCAAAATATGTGCTTAACATCTTTATGATATGAAATAAAGGAATATTTGATGTTATTAATCAATAATTTATTAATTCATTGTTGTTAATAATAACTAAGGCTTAGCTAAACCAGCAAACAAAATATTAATTATTTATTTAAATTATATTAGGGGGTACCGGTGTTTATGCGCATATCTTGTACTACAGTACTCTAAAGTAGGCACTTAATGTTTCCTATCAAAAATTTTAATATTAATTATGCAAAATAAGTGCTTAACATCTTTATGATATGAATTATGGGAATATTTTATGTTATTATTAATTAATAAATTATGTTATTAATTGTTATTAGTTATTATGAGATGTTAATTTAACCATGATCACTGATTGTACATCAGTGTGTTGAAAACAGTAATTAATACAGTACTATAAATCATTCCCCTATCATCTTGGCCTATTTCAAGATTGTGACGACAACTTGCTGTGTGTATTTGCATGTGTGAGCTTATGCGTGTTGAATTTCCGAGTGCAGTATATACATGTGTACTAGTAATACTCTGCCCGCCAATTTGGTAACGCAATGCTTAACCGCCAAACACAGAGATCTCTGTGTTTCCGGTTTTTGTACGGAATCCGATAGATGAGGTAATTACCGACATGTACTAACAATTTAAACACTATATTCAGTCTGGACCGTAAGTATTTCACTATTTGTTTACATTAGTCTAGAGCGGTATTGCTTTACTTTCACGAAATCGCGATTCATTGTGAGAAATCACGTAAATCTCCAAAAGTGAGTCATTTTAATTTCGATGTCAGAGATTGTGATTAAAATAAAGTGTTTGGTACCATTGTAAAGCTAAAATGTTTGTAGTTCTTGTAGAATTCATTACATGTCAACCTGATCACATCCGCACTCCCAACAAGCTTCGGAAAAGTGTTAAAATTTGCTAAAAATTCTGGTGGTGGCTAATACTATTTTTTCAAACCATGGCGGTTAGAGTGTTATGAGGCTAAATCACAGGAAAAAAATGTTTGTATGTTTCATTTCACTAAGCATATGCCTGAAAATAATTATGAAGTCACACAGAATATTAATGTCAGAATCTACCTCCATTTTGTATTGAAATACTGGAGCACAGAAACTTATAAATCAGTGCAACAGTATCTTCATGTAATGGAATTACTTTAATGTCATGCTAAAACGTTCAACCCTTTTTACATTAACATAAATGTTAGTCAGGCCATGCTTGCAAATACTTAGATTGCAAAAACCTTAACAATGCTAACCCCAATTTTAATTTTTTTTTTTTACTTTTGTGGTGGTGTATAAATTATGACATGATTTCCATTGATATGCTTTTTATTTTCCATGTACACAAAGAGAGTAATATACTGTATACAGTATTATGGCCTTTCTATTTTTGTATCAGAATTTATATTATATCAGGATACAGTATATTGACAAAGAAAACACTGCCTCACTCAATAAATTTTAAGACTGAAAGTTGGTTCTTGTAGTCAATAACATTTTATTTTGTGTTTGTAAACCTTCATCATATTTTATTTATATTTATTTATTTTTACTGTATTTAAAAGCAAAAAAAGCTATAGCAAATTATAATCGTGTCCAAAGATCATATTGCAATGTTTACAATCTGCCCTGGATCACAATTAGGACGTATTAAACACAAAAAAAATAAATAGTATTAGGTCAAAAGTCAACACAATTCACATAAGCGTGAAGGAAGAGTTCATCACAGATGAAAAGAACTCATAAATAATGTAGTCAGATAATTATAGTAGGGTAAAGGGCAGCGACTATTACAAAAAATATTGTGTAGCTTGGCCTAGCATATAATTGTTAAATTTCTGTGAATTTCGAGGGGCTCAGGAAAACAGGTTACCAGACATTGATTGCTATAGATTGATTTAATTCCATCAAATCCTAATGCCATATTTTATGGCATATTCCACACATATAACAACTTTTATTCAAAAACTATAGTTCTACTGAATACACATCCGTTAATTTTCTCAAGTGAACATAATTGACCCCCAACACTGTGCGAATATGCTGTACTCATACGAGGTTTGTGCATATTAAGGAATGATAATGATGAATGCATAGAAACTGTTATGAACAAACATTTTCCTTTGAAGAAGATCCTTCCTCTTTGTCTGAAGGAGAGGAAGTTTGGCTGCAGATAAGACTGATTCATAAGTCAACAACAATAAGTATCAGTTAAAATGACACAAACTTTCGATATTGCTTTACTCTGCTCAAGTGTCATAAGATTGTGGTTCTAATAATAAATGTGGTAGTCAATTTTTGTATGTGAATAAAGGCCACATTAAACCAAAAATAAGATACTAGTTGACATAGCTAACATTTAGTGATTGCATTTAAAATGTTAACAATTTTTAAATAACTCAAACATACTCACATTACAAATGAAAACAACAATCATAAAATGAAAATAATCATTATATTATGTACTCTTTTCAGGGTGGGAGAGACATCACAGAAAAAAAAAATGTGCTGTTGTACACTCTTGAAAATTACATTAGATTTAGACTTGATGTACCTTATATGCTATTTGGTTTGGTAGGTGGATGGAAATGTGCATTTGAAGTCATTGTTTGCAGTCTTTAATATCATTTTTTCATATAGAATAGGCTATGGTAGCCACATGATGTTAGGGGGTGAATCAAGGATGTAATTAGGTTAATTGTTATAAGGAAATACATTCTTTGAGTTTCAGAATAATAGATATGAAAGGATTTCATGGGTAAATTAGATTCCAAATATGTAGGAATAAGTACTTGGTTAAGAATACCACCATACACTTAATGAAATATTGTAAGGTTTGGTATCATGTTGATGCAGCCCAATACAGCTGTCCCTATCAGCTGAGGACACACATACTGAAGTACTGTAGGCACAGTGGCACTGATGCATTCATGCATTAAATAGCTTGGTGCTTTAGGATGCTTGCATTCCAGTTCCAGGGACCTAGGTTCAATTCCTGTTACAGTATAACACTGAGGCACTAATGTAGCAAATAATTGCATAGCAACAAACAATAATTACATATCAGTAGGCAATAATCACCTACAGTCAATAATGCAGCTTTCTGTAGCAATCCTGTTCTCAGATAGGAAAATTTAGATGCTGAAATGATCATGTTATTGCGATATTACATAGTTATTTGTGTACTACTACTATCAGTTATTGGTATAATAGTACATCGTTAATTTTGTATTGAATGCTGTATGTAGCCTATTGTACTATTTTTCATGTACATTGTTAAACTGTACATAAAAGTATATGTAAATTATTAGTCAGTGTTTATGAATATGAAGAACAACTGCCCCTTGAGTTATGTGACCATTCACTTAACCATAAACCATTGTCCCTTTTTTTAAATTGTTAATATCTATTGTACTTTTATTTACTCTGACCAGAATGTAAAGAAAACTTGAAAGCTTTCCTCCTTTGTGAGTCAGGCACATAACTGGTGAAGCATAGGAAGGCAGTGTTGAGTGTTTCTCATGCTTTTCTTTACATCTGCTGTAAATTCTTTCTGATTAAAATATTGTTTATACTGTCAAAGTAGAACCACAAAAGTTCTGAATAACCATTAAAAAAATTAATTTGTGTATGTGCTTTTTATAAAGCTACTTATTATTTTTATTAATTTACATTGAATTAGATAAATAGGACATAGATTATATTGTATTCAATGATCATTTTAAAATGATAATTATAATATGAAATGATAATTGATTATAGTTCTTAACATTGAAAATAATTGAGTTGAAGGTGATTTTTTTTCCAGAAAAATGCTCTCATTTTACAGAGTCAGTATCAATATCTAAGCAGACATATTGTTAATGTTATGCATAGATTAATAGTTTGATAGAAAATTTTATAATATATTGTTAGTGTAGCACAGTGCATGGATCTAAAGTATATAATGTAGCAAGTGGCCCAAATGTCCTAGAAATCGGCATGATGCCTGAGCCAGCAAAATTCTCTCATAAATGAGACCGTTTTCTTTGATGATTGTATATTTTTAATAACTGATATCAATTGTTTTGCTGAAATCAAATGTCCACGGCAGTGGTGGATCCACGAATTTGAAATGTCCCAGTGAGGGACTTTCACAGGTAGAAGGTAATGACCACCTCAGCCCCAAGCCTGCTAGGCCCCCTCCCCCTTTAAACCGCCACTGCTAAGGTAGTCACATAAACCAGATCGAGAATTGGCATATCCCAACCCCTGTACATTGTACCAACTAGGTCGTTATGTACTATTTACAGTATTACTGTATTTAGACCTACTGTATAGGTTTTGTGTCAATGAATATGAGAAGAAGGATTGTATTTGTCCAAATGCCTTGTTTACAAATTGTGTGTCTCCATAATATTTATATATGCTCATTGAATTAGTATTATTCCACAATAATTGTCTTTTTCCTTCTAGGCTTGTCGCCAGATTTGCAATCAATGGAACAAATACGAAGAATAATGAGGCCTACAGATGTACCTGAAACGGGTAAATCATTTTGCATAATAATTTTAATATAATATAATTAATAATATTATTATAATTTTATTTATATTTATTATTCGTATTTTAAAGATTTATCTGTTTTGAAATAATAAATTAAATCAAATAGTCAATTTTTTTTTTAGATTTGTGTATTTAATTAAACTTTCAATTAATAATTAGAACAAAATATTTGAAATCTTATTGCTGTCAAATAACAAGAGCAAAATTTATGTTTGTTATTTCTTAAACCCTGCAACATCCCTTAAAATTGACTTGTCCATTTAATTTAAGGGTTTGAAGTAAAATGTTTCTAGTCAGTATTAAAACTGAATATTTTAACCCCTGTCTTATTAGGACTTACATATTTAATCCTTTTAAAATCAATGATTTAATTTAATTTCCTTTTTACCAGATTATAAAATGGGATCTTTTTTGTAAGATTATCCTAGGTTTTACTGTAAATTTCATTGTGGTGTATTCTCCATTGAGTTTTTTTATGTACACGTATATAATAAAACCTTATCAGGATGTTAAGCTTATCTTGCATACTTGACTTATTAAATATACGATGTGCAAAGATGCTTTCTGTCAGCGTTGATTTCTTACCCAGCATGATATCAAGTACTCATTGCATGTTTGCAGTCTCCTCACCCAACAACATCTCCCGCCCAGTGCATCCTAGGTACCTTCTAATTAATTAAGAATTACTGAGTAGAAGGTCTGTAGCAATAATGACCGTTATTCCCCCCACATCTGACCTTTGCCTGGTTCCACCTGCTTTGTCAATTATGGTTTGTTCAAATCTGACGTGGTACAGCAAGGGATTGCCATAAATGGACTGTACCATTCTTGCCAGGGATGACATCTTGCATGCTAGTAGTAGGCTCCATTATCAAGATTGTTGCCAACTATAATGCTCCACAGCTATATCAACTTGAATGTATATCTTAGTTTAAGACATGGCTTCAGATTATCATGCTACATTATTATAATTTTTTGTTCAATTTCAATATATAAAAAATCTATACTGTATTTCATTTACCGTAAAACCTGAATTGCATTTAAAAAATTGTTCTATAATATAATAAAATGACAATTTAGAAACATTGAACTTAAAATATTTATTTTTGAAAAAATCATTTGGCATGATAAAAATAACTGTACACCTATAAAAATAATTACTGGATACAACCATATGATGTAACATAGAAATTGGTACATATTTAACAATTTAGGATAAAACAATGTACAGTATTTACAATTGTAACAAGAAGATAATCTGAGATTACAAACCCTCGCCCTGTTGCGCCATATCTACAGTATGTACACTACTCAGAAAAATAATGGGCCATGGTGGATCCGCTCGAGTTGTTGCGACCTACCCAAACGAGGCTTAATATCATAGGCCTCGTGTGTAATCCCAATCCATTTAACACCCCCTACTCTGGCCCACGGTCCATCCATGAAAAATGACTTAACGCTACTAAGGCTCAAACCAGGGTTGCAATAGTACTAGTGAAGGAGGTGAAGAGAACCAGAGGGCATTCTGTCTCCTTTGCGTAATTTTACAGGCTGAAGGCAAAGTTTGTTTAAATGCATCATAGTTTTTCATTGTGCGGCCCACATGTCACAAGTTGCCGCTTTCATATTGTTGAAGATTCTGCAACTATTCTGCATCAACGTTTGGTTTGGCCCTTGGGTGTTAAGTCAAAATTCACTTTTTATGCCAGTCCTTTATCCTTGGTTTTGATGAAACCTCTTCAGTGTGTTTCCATAAGGAGAATCGATGGAACATTTCACCATGTTTCTTTGTCAAGATCATCCTGTTTTAGAGATAATGGCCAAAACATGCTGGAATGTCAGCATTTTTAAAATCTATTTTATTGCACTAAACTAACATATATATCATGCTATGCTGTTATTTTCCCCATTTTCAATGTTAAAACAACAATTTTTAACAATTTGGTGATGGTTTCTGCCTGAGAAATACCCGAAATCATAAACTTTGAAGGTGATTTCTCAAATATTGTGCTTAAAACAGCTGTATGTTTAAATTCTTGTAACTTCATAATGAAATGTCAGATTTAAATGAATTTTCACCATTTTATAGCTCTCATTCTACTGTACTGTATAACTCTAAAAATTAAAATTAATTTTTGCGATGAGTGACTGGTTTGGCTTGTCTTTGCCACATATATAGTGCATGGACTTTTAAGGTGCGGTAGGAGGTGCTGAAAGTACAGTTAGTGCCGCTGACAGTCCAGTGGGAGGTGCTAATTAGTACTGTACTGTGTAACCTTGGCCACAAATTAGGAACTAGTCTTGTGATTATGCAACCTCCACTGTGTATGATCTTTTAATTATGTAACAAATTAGATATTATACCTATCACTCTTCCTGTTAATTAACATGAAAAATCACATACTTCACCTGCTACAGAGAGTAGCATAGCTCAGTCAGCTAAACTGGTGGTAGCCATTGCGTGTGTGCTGAACCGTGAAAATCCTTTGAAACTTTTGCTCCTTGATTCAATTCTTGAGTGCAAGTTCAAGATGGCAGAGCACGCTGGAAAGAGCATGAGATTGGCTGTCAGTTTACTGCCAAAATGACCACCAAAAGGACCCCACTGGAAACAAATCTTTTTCATGAGTTTTCCTTGGTGCGATCTAGGACTAAAGTTGATAAGCAGGTCGCTCTTTTAAATCAAAATTATATAAAATATATATAAAATATTTTAAATTCTAATAATAATTAACATTGGTCTGATCCGTTGCTACTACTACTGTACGGATTCAATATCGTGAAGACCTGCTCCAAAAGCAAAAAAAACAAAAATTACTTTATGAAGAATTTTCTATGTTCACAATTTGGTTTTTATTAATAATAATAATAATAATAATAAAGCACTTCACAGTGAATAAGACTACCTGCTATTAAGTCTTGCAAAATATTAATTATAATTTTTTGTAATAAAACAATTTTATGAATATTCACACACTATGCCATACTATGCCATACTAGTATTTGGCTAGCAATGTACAGTAGTACATATTATTTTCTATTATATTAAACATTAGTTTAGAATACCATCATCGTACAGGTTTTATTTGTGTAATAACTGTATAAAGTTACTAAACCCATTAATAATATTATACACTACGAATGTAATTTCAACTTGATAGCACTTCAACTGTTAATTAACTATGAAAGCCATGCTCTTTAATCTGAAGGAGCACATTAACAGCTGGTATATTTAATTAATGCTAAAATCACCCAGTTAAAGTCAGACAGGGGTTAAAGTTCACCTGACTTACAATAAACCCAACTTGTACTAAACCATAATTCAAATTCAATATTTTGTTAAATTATCTTATTTTAAAAATTTGTTTTCCATTTAATTTTGTCTCATTATATAATACTGCAAGTACGCTTCCTTACTCCATGGCTAAACATACCTTGCAACAGATTTCAAATCAGCTAACAGTAGGGACCATCTCAGATGTTCATGAAACTTTCTCAAATTATTCCTTTAATGGTTGTTTTGTATTTTCTTTATGGAATGTTATTTCTTGGTGGTGCAGTATTAACCGTTTCAAAGTGTAAATAACCATAATGTTGTTGCTTGTAGCGTCTTGCAAGTATTCTTTGAAGGACTATTACCAGCCATTTTGGTTCCATACCCAATTAAATACTCTGTGCTGTACATTGCAATACCACGTCACTGTATTTCAGTTCCCTCTAAGTTATATTTGGAGAAAGCTGGAAGTTTCTTCCATAGAATATCAAATATAATTTTTTATAATAAAAAAGATTAATGTCATAATGAATAGAGTAATTATAAATTGTGTGTTGTTTCTTGTAGGCTTGTTGTGTGACCTGCTATGGTCAGATCCGGACAAGGATGTACAAGGTTGGGGAGAGAATGACCGTGGTGTATCATTCACATTTGGTGCGGACATTGTCAATAAATTCCTCAACAGGCATGACTTGGATCTTATAACAAGAGCTCATCAAGTAAGTGTCACCACCAGTGATAGACATAAAGACAAGTGGGGGGTGGTGGGGTGAAATAAGAAGGGGATGTGTGGGTGCAATTTAGGATTTATTTTGTGATGAATGAGGATCCTGTTTGATGGATACAAGCGCTATACAAATCTATACTATTATTATTAATATTGTTACTAAATCTGTTTCTAAGCCTATTTGGTCTCAGGTTTTTTATTTTGTAGTAAAACATTTTTTCCTAAATGTTAAATTTTTTTTTCATTGTAGGTGGTTGAAGATGGGTATGAATTCTTTGCAAAACGGCAGTTGGTAACACTATTCTCTGCACCTAACTACTGTGGTGAGTTTGATAATGCAGGTGGCATGATGAGCGTTGACGAATCGCTGATGTGTTCTTTCCAGGTATGTTGATTTCTGATTGGCTATTAAAGTAATTGAGGAAGAGTCCCCTGAGTTTTTGCATACATTAATAATATCAATAACAATAATAATACACAGAATAGAAATGACATACAAGACACAAAAACGTATAAAACCTGAAATATTGCATCAGACATACAAATTTCGATATTGGGATATCTTCATATAGTGATCAAGAATTTAAAATAGAAAAGTGTTTGCATATAGTAAGAAAGTTTGGCATAGGCACAGACACTCCAAAATTGTAGTAACGATGTCCATGCGTAATGTGCAGATCAGTTTTCTTCAGCCATCTTGTGTGCAGATCTATTTGCCTTCTCTTGTGTAGATCCTTCTACAGTATATTTAACCCTGGTCTTTCTACTATTCTGCCTTCTCTTGTGTAGATCCTTCTACAGTATATTTAACCCTGACTATTCTGCCTTCTCTTGTGTAGATCCTTCTACAGTATATTTAACCCTGGTCTTTCTACTATTCTGCCTTCTCTTGTGTAGATCCTTCTACAGTATATTTAACCCTGGTCTTTCTACTATTCTGCCTGGCTCTTGTGTAGATTCCTTTGTTACTATTTTTGAATACTTATTAAACTATTTATTGTTCCATTTTGTTACAGATTTTGAAACCATCAGAAAAGAAAGCAAAATATCAGTATGGAGGACTGAATTCAGGAAGGCCTGTCACACCACCAAAAGGAACACAGAAAAAGAAGTAATGAACAGATTTCCAGTAAATCTTAACTGTTCCAAACCTCCACCCAGTCAAACCTGGCGAGTCTCCTTGCGTTGGTGTGATTTTTTTGAAGAAAAATGTTTAAATAATAAAAAAAAAAAATGGAACAAAACATAAAGAGGATATTGATTTTGTAGCTGAACAATTTGACCTGGTTTCAGATCAATATGATTGGCATAGAGAGTAATATCCCTCCCTCCCTATACTCCCTTCCCCCTCCCCTTTTAGTTTTCTGTTTTTGTGATGTTCATGAAGATATGCTGACAGCTTTGGTGGTTCCAACTTCCAATTCTTGATTGCTACTCCACTGCTAATTTTGCATTGGCAGTTGGTTGTAAAGGTGCTGTCGTATGCCCTCTGCCAATCAGGTTGCTAACTGTAAGCTGCCCAGTGTAGCAACGATCCAGTATTGCATGGTGAGACATCAAATATAACTGGTTGCCAATTACCATGTTTAAAGGTAAAGGCATTATTTCTGATTCAAAATCTATGAATACACGTTTTTGAGTGTAAAAAATGTGATTTACAGTACCTTGATACTAATGTAACCATAAGATTTATTGTAGATTTCTTTCCTTTATCTCTCTATATATAGAAAGTTGTGTCTTGATTTAGGAATATTAAAATAAATGATATTATTATTCTGGTGATCATTTTATGAAGTTGTGAGACATATTTTAGGTTATATGCTGATTGTAGTTGTCTGTGTTGGTCTTAACCAAATTATGCGAAAGATTTGTATCAACTTTCCAAATCGATTTTTGTATTTCTGTGTACTTTGTGATGTTTATACAAAGAGATCTGTATTAAGGCTTTTTTGTCATATCATTTTGTCTGTTGATGTTATTCTATTCTTTTGAAACAAGTATTACCGTGTTTCAAGTAATATTTATTACCTTATGTTTTGGGTGTATTTAAAACAAAATGATAGAGTTCGGAAGTGTACATTTTGCAGTGTCTTTCGCAGATAATCTAGCTTACATGTTGAACCTGCTCCTGCAAACTTCGTTTTCACCCATTTTTAGACGAGGTGGACAAACTTATGTATTTATATGTTCTTTTCTTTTTAAACTTACGTTATTGCTGGTTTTGTTGCAATTTAAATCCAAAGGCACTCTTCATGGGGTACATATGGGCGTTTTTACTGACATTTGATAAAATCAGCTCATTTTATACTAAATTATGTTACATTTATATAATAGCATTTTAGAGAATAATTTTTATATAACTGCACTGTAAGTACTGCAAAAAAATACAATTTGAATGACAGAAATACACCATCAAAAATTTATTTCAAAACAATAGTTTAAATTGCATATTTGTTTGTTGATGTATTTATGTACAGCAGTTAGTGAGTAGAAATATGTATGTACAAATACCAATTCCAATGAATTAGGTAGAATTTTGCTTGTATATAAGTGCCTTATTTTGTTTTCATTGTCCTAGCTAAATTCATTATAGCTTACTGCCCTAAAAAATATATATACTTTATAACATGTAGATTAAACTAAGTAAATCAATAGAATTCAATTAATTTGTTGCTTGTTCATGGAACTTGGAGATGTAAGTGCAAATAGATATGCCAGTATTTGTTTGCTTTTATTATTTCAATTTGATGATGTGTAGTAAAGATTCTAAATAGACATTAAAGAATTCATTCTGCTAAAAACGTAGCAATATATCAATCAACCGTACTAGTGAAGAGTAATTGAAAATGCTTATTAGTATACAAAATAAAGGCTTTAGTTTAGTATACTCTATAACTGCTTACTGTCATGTTGGTTGAAGATGTTGGTTATTGTATTTGGTTCTTTGTATTGTTTCATTGTTTGCCATCTCTTCTAAGAACAACGTATACTAAGGATCGTACCATTTCCATCCTAAAATTTTCACTGTACATGGTTTTAATGAATTTGTAATTGTAATGATGATTTTGGATGCTTTTTATGAAAATCTGTAATTCTTGAAAAAGCAATTTCAGGGAAGTGTAAGACAAAATGTTAGTTGATTTCCAAGTTTATTGAGATATTTATGTGTAGTAGGAGCATTTGTGAATGAATCAGATTTTCAGATTGCCATTTGATTTTATTTGTATGATTTGGGTGATTTTTTTTTCAATTAACAATAAATATAATGATGAAAGTTTCATATCATACACGAAATGTAGTCAATGAGTAAGGTTAACAATTTGTGGGATTGAATGGATTGTTGAATTTTGTGTGGTTTTTTTTTTTTTGTAAAGAAATATATAAAATCTCACAAATTACACATTCTTACTTTAAACTGAATTTTTTAAATACCATTCAAAGGTTTAATTAGACTAGTATTCTATAAATATCTCCTACAATTTCACATTGTTTTGGCTGAAGAGGATTCGAGGCAGTTGCCTAATCGAGAATTTCAGAATTTCATCTTCTGTTTCTCAAGAAGAGAATCAGTCGCACTCTTCCATGTTCAATTTCTGGTGCATCTTCAGAGGTCATTAAAAGGTTGAATAATTGTCTTTTGTCTAATTTTGGTTTCTAACAAGTTTTATTTGTCTCCATCTGCATACATGGTGGTGTGAGCATTTCGTAACCCAAAGTTTTTGTAACTCTGCTGTAGGTAATTTTGAAAAGTTTGCAGTAGGCCTCACAATTCATACTGTATAACCTTGAATAGAAGCCCTGGGTTTTTTTGTTTTTTTTTGGCCACCTTTGGATGGGCTTCTTTTCGAGATGGGCTTGCAAAGTAAAGAGTAGGTCTTCTTTTCAAAATTAATGCTGTAAATTTTGGGAATTACTACTATAAAACAATAGGCACACAGTAAACATTCTTCAACGATGAAATCCTGTTAAAAAAAACAAAATTAGTTTTTAATTACTGTATGACTTTAAGTAGCCTCGAATAGAAGCCCATGTTATCTTGAAAAGAAGCCCTTGGGCTTTTCGAGATGGGCTTCTTTCCTAACCACAGAGGGGGCTTCAATTCAAGAAGGGTTTCTTCTCGAATTATGTCTATTCAAGGTTTTACGGTATTGGTATAATTTCCTTTATAATCAACCAATACTAACATACGTTTTTATGTGTTGATTATCATTATGATACCAATATCTTTAAGGACAACCAGATGAAATTTAGAGCTTTCTCAATTAATTCGGGCACACCATGTAGATAAAAACCATAATGGGCACAAATGGATCCCAAGTTAGTACCTCCATGGTTAGGAGAAGCTTTTGGGAAAATTGTTAGCTTTTCTTAACGCACCTTATTTTCTGGTGCATGAATTTTTCTATTGGGTTGGTAAAGCTTAGCAACACAACTTTTTTTGCCTAACCATCAACTTAAAGAAGCCAAAAATACTTATATTGATGTTATAATAAAGCTCACTTCTCACGCTCTAATTAATTATAGGCCTATTTTCGCCCAGTAAAACTATTAATCTCTTGGTGGCGCTCGGAACAAGTCGAGCGATAGAAATTATGTTTTTTCAGCGCGTCAATATGCTTGGGAACGCGTTCTCAGTAAGAACAGAGGACTGGTCGATTAAATTTTATAGAAAGATGGTAATCGAGATAAGTAATGAATCGAAGAGTTCGAATCCCTCCCACACCTTTCTGCCTCTTGACGTACACCACTCAACACCATCCATTCACTGAGTAGGCCCAGCTCATACAACAATGAGCTTTATGATGTCATGAAAGGTATAGGCCCCTGGTTCTTATTAGGCGGCCCGCGGGCATAATTTGGCACGAGAAGCAAATTATTCTGGCCCGCGAGAAAAAATTAAATTATAAAAAATATATATTTAAAGAAACTAAAATTAATAACCATTCGATAAAAATTTGTTCAAAAGTGAAAGCCAAATCACAACACTAGGCCAATGTGCAATAGGGGCGGGTTACCCCCACCCAGATCTAGAATTATATCTGTTACCAACCAATCGACACACGCAAAAAGATTGGTAGTCTTAGTTCAGCTAAATATGACAGTAAATATAATAAAAACTTTATCGCAGAGACTTGTTTTTATTATAAGTAGACCCAAGATTTTACAGGCGAAATGTTTTTAGCATTTAAAGCCCTGGTACTGTATTTGGTGGATATAGGATAGGTAAAATCACACAGAAAATGCTGATTGTCTGCCAAACAAACTTTGTATGACTGATAAAAAAATACTGTGTTTTTGTCACGATTATGCCTGTAACTTCGTGCCCCGAGGAAAAATGTAGAACAAGTTTCCGCTAAGTACGGTAATGTGTGCTTGGCGAGAGTCGTGCCGTAGAAAAAAATACAACAGCAGTAGAACAACAAGAATAAAAGAAGTTCACGACGACGACAAGTTGAAAATTTCACAATTAGTACCGGTAATGCATTTCCCCGACACGGGAGATTGTGATGTGCTCCGAACTTACCAATATGATTTTAAACTTAAAGGGGTTTTTTTAACTTTTTTCTTATTCAATCTGTATTTTTATCCAAAAAAATTGCAATAAAGAGAAATTTTGAATTGAATTTTGAACGAACACAAGAGAAAAACGAACAAGATAAAATTGCACAATCATAACGTCTACTGTATTTCCCCGCACGAGAATATACGAAATACACGATTTGCCGAGGAGGAACCTTTCCCGACGAAAAATGTGACAATCTCCACCCGACAGGTAGAGCCAGCCCAGCTAACAATATTATTACGTTATAAGAACGTTACAATAACGTTACAATTTGGTGATAAAAACGTTATTTTTGTAGAACCATGTACGTACTTATAACCTAATTTCACAACGTTACAACGTTCTTACAACGTTGTGTGAACGTTATTCTGTGACAAACCGTACCTAACCACAACTCGCAAACGTTATAAGAACGTTTTGTGTTTGCTGGGTGGTATTCATAAAATCGCTACACGCACAGTCGGCGACGCTAATTAATCGGAAGTCTTCCTCGATGTCGGAGACAGAATGGAGATCCTAAAATCCATTGACCATGGAGTTCTACATTATCTGGACTGACCGCCTCAGCCCTCGGAATTCGGACTCTGTCGACACTTTCTGAGCCATTGCAAGGATGTAAGCACCACCCCCTGCTGTCCTTTTATTATAATCTAGATGATCAAACCCGGTTCACAACCAAGACTACTTTAGAAATATATATCAAAATATGTGGTAGTGGATATAAATTATTATATTTACTTCACATATTTAATTTATTTTTTGTTGTCCTTTCTTTTTTGCCTTTGCTTTTCTGATGTCTGTTGCATTGTTTTTAAGATTTTTAATTGTGTACTGTATTTCTTTTGGCAGCACCTCCAAAATTTGGAGTGTGCATCTGTTACAAATGTGTGTTTTCCAAATAAATTACTTACTTGCTTTCATGGGTTTCTTACTAGTACGTGCATGTTCCGCGACTATCGTCTGCTAGCTAGCTTTAAAGGAAATATAAATCCTCTTAAATTATACAACAATGAGTTAAACACTATGAAATAGTCTAATAAGCTACATCGAGGTATGCCAGTTGTCATATGGGATCCAAATCGTTGACAAATCATCAGGGGTGGCGGGGGATTCGTCTCAGTCGTCCCCTCCAGGAACTCGTTACGTCACTGCTCTGGGATTAAGCCAATAGAATGAATTTTGGCATTCATCCACACTTCTATTTTGTACGCTGATTGGTGGAAAAATATCGATAACGCAAACTTGTACTAAAATTCTGTTTCTCTATCATCACTTAACCGCTTTGTCAATTGGCCCTGTTATATCTTGTTTCATTTCCCTTTTTTGTATTATCATTGTTAAGAGTCAAGTTCAATAATACAGTAATATCGATTTTCCCCCTAAATGTATGGTACCGTAGTTAAATAAAGGGAAAAATGTTTTTTCGTTATGATTTTCAGGTAAGTCATACATAGGCCTATTGAAATGAACAAAACTAACACTTTCAGATTCTCATACTTAAAGTACAAATTTTTTGATAGTGTATTTTTAACATCAAAACTTTGATAACGCACGCATTACAAAAGTAAACTGACGCACATGGCACACTAATTTGATTATGTTTGTTCGTATTAAGTAAAGTTTTCACTATATGAAGAGGTTATGCGACCCATCAACATTTTTCCGCGACCCATAGGTTGCTTACACCAAATAAATCCATCCATCCAGCCAAAGCGAAATTATTTAAACTATTTATATTATGAGTCATGTGGCTAAAAGGGGTCATAATGCTCAGTCAAAATGTCAAAAATCAATCTACAAGCAACTAATTTATTGATACCAAATTGAGAGTAAACATCTCGTTAATTATTCGCCTCCACCTCCCCGTTATCACCTATCCAGAAAACAGCCCTGTTTGAGTAGACACACTAAGACGTGAAACGCGTTGGTAACGCAAAATGTAGAAATTCAGTAGTACAGTACATGCATTTTCCGCCAACGATTACGTGTTACAAATCGAATCTCACGCCTGTGTGTGAGAGTAAGCTTGCTTGGTAGCTATTGGGGTACTGTTGTATTATTTTCGACCCAGGCACTGCTGTGTCAGCTCTGCAACAACTATGATTATCAAATCAGCTTCACTGTTGTTGCTTTTAATAATTGCAAGCATAGTAACAACACAAGAAGCGTTAGGTTCGGTAGAGATTAGTGACGAAACATGGAGAGATATGGAGAAAGGAGAGTGGCTGGTAAAATTGTGAGTTACCCGGCTGTCTAAAGCATTTTCCCCGTCGCGCTGCATTGTCGTCTAGGGCCTAGGCATAGATACTAGATCTAGGCCTAGTCTAGGCGGCCTAGGCCCTAGATAGGCCTATATATAATAATTGTAGATAATCTCCTGGAAAATGAGCAGGCCCCTTTATCTGTAGGCCCTAGCCTAGGGCTAGGGCCTAGGCCTAGGTGTGTCTTTTTGTAATTTAGTCAGGCCAGCTAGAGAGGGCCTAGGCCTACCCTACCCTAGGATACATGGGCCTATGCTAGCCTAGTTCTTATGTAGAGATCATGTACCCATTTGATATTAGGCCATTTACATTTTAGACAAAATCTAGCCTACTATGTTAATCTTTGGTGAGTATGTCTTACTTCCTGCAGTGCAGGCCTTGTTTATTATTTCTACTTCCTCCTTGGAATAGCCTAATTAGACCTGGCCCTAGTAGTATTACTATAATAAAATTAGACAGCAAACTTACCCAAACAAAGTGATTGCAAAGGTCTGTCATAGATAATTTCTGCATCAAACACTTATTAAATACAATCACTCTTTAGTGTGTTCAATCATTCTTTATTTATCAATCAAAAATTGCACAAAAGAAAGTTAACATTCATTCCAGGTCTAGTGACATTTGTAACTAGCCAGGACAAAGTTACTATACATTGTTAAAAGTATAGCAATGACAAAAAAAAATAACCTATAAAAATGAAGGTTTAACCATAAAGTCTACTGCAACAACCTATATTGCAATTTATCACACCAGTGATTTTTGGTCCTACAAAATTTCTAGGACAACTCCCGGCCCAAGTAGGGTAGTGCCATTTGTGTGGGTGGGGCTGTAGAGGCCCCCTTTATTATTATTCTCATCATTTTTATGGTTACAATTTTTACATTGTTTTTTTAACTTGATATATTGTATTTCCTGTTTTTTTTTCCCGTTAGTTATGCCCCATGGTGTCCAGCTTGCAGGAGTCTTGAACCGATTTGGAATAAAATTGCCAGAAAGGGCAAAGATTTAGATATCAGTGTTGGTGAGGTGGATGTGACGGCCTACCCAGGTCTCAGTGGCAGGTTTGTGATAACAGCCCTGCCAACAATTTATCAGTATGTTCTCTTTATATTTTGTTAAAATAAAAAAAAAAAATAATTATGTCTATTGCTTTAAATTATTATAATTATTAGAACAAAAAATATGTTTTCCTCACAATTTAAACAGGTCTCCCTCCACTTAAAGACCACATTTGGGACCAGGGTTTCCAAAGCTTTGGTATTAGAATAATAAAAGTAAAAGACATTTGTTAATATGGGAACACAGAAAAGTGGTCTTTAATTAGAGGTGGTCTTTGATTGGAGAGGTCTTTAATTATAGGGAGACCTGTATGCATGGAAGTTGAACTTGTTGAGTCAAATCCAAAGTGGCATTGAAAAATTGTTGACTTTCGATAAAATTTGACTTACAGATCGTTATTTAATGGAAAACACAACAATTTGGAAACTTATAATTATTCAAGTTATGCAAAGTTGACTTAGGCAGGTTTAACTGTGTGTATATACCGTAGTTCCTGAGGTATACATGTAGTCCCACCTCAGCTATAATCCCACTTCTGACATTACGCCCAACTTAGCGTACAGGCATTACCCTACACAAAGTCCCTGGGTATAATTTAGGTGAGTAGGCCTAAGTCTAGGTCGGTAAATTTAACAAATGCTCACAAAATATAAAGGATTTGGCTCCGAATTCGGCAAGCTTAAATCTCTTTAATTTTAATTGGACAAGACATTGTTCACAGTAAAGCTGGATACAAAGCCCATTCTTGTAAATTCTTGTTGTTTACTGTTGTCGCTAAAATAAACAGCTCGCAAGCTACAGACAAAAATAGACAACACTGCGATCCGTCCCTAAAGAGACCCGCCCAGTGGGCTGATCAGATCATTAATTCAAAGCATGAAGACTCACACATGTTCAACAGAGACTCTTGCTGCTCAAAAATAACTTGTTACATCATTTTAATGCATTTCCAAGTGGCCCGTCTTCATCACATGCGATGTGTGATTGGTTGGATTGGTTGTTTGCTGGGGCAAAAATAATCTACATCCTTAAGAAAGAAAGTTGAGGTATAGGCTGGCCTAGCTCAAAGTAAGACCAAGATATGGGCTCTCTAGCTAGGCAGCTAGTTCTACTAGAGTAATTAAAATTAGGATGTTCCCTTCCCTTTGATGTTCGAGTAGTTTTGGATAAGCCATTGAAGTAGTTCAAATGCATCTACCATCTCACAAAACGATAGTCATTTTCGTTTTGTTCATGCACACTGAAACCCATGGGTATAATCTCTGTCTCTTATACACATCTAGATGTGTATAAGAGACAGATCCTAGCCTAGGCAATACTGTATTGAAAAAAAAAAAACATTTTTAAAATAATATAAATAATATTTCTATTGTGTATGATATTTAAATTAAGGCAAATTATTTATTAGCTTAAAATAAGTAATATGTGTAATGATCATATTCATTTCTACTTTGTACTAGGTGTCTGGACATGTAAAAATTATATACTGATATTTATGATCACTGTTTTGTTTTAATTTCAGTGTCATTAATGGAGAGTACCGGAAATACCAAGGAGGTAGAACAGAAGATGACATTATTCAGTTTATCCAAGAAAGAAAATATATTGACCTTGAACCAGTACCTGGCTGGTACGCCCCAGGGTCATTCATGTAAGTAGTTTTAGAGGAGACTTGGTTTTATACCTTCTTTATGGATGCCCAACTGGTTAGGGCAGGGGCACCACAACCTACAGCTGTAATATCGGTGCTGGTTGGAATGGCACGCTCATCTATGGTTCTGGTGGTGGAACAAGTCTTCTCAGATAAGGACTATAAACCGTAGGCCCAGTGTACACAATGGCTCATGTGTACTATGAAGAACCCAGTACAGCTTTCGAGACGAGTAGGTGTACCCTGGTGTACTGGTTCATACAGCCCCTGTTGTGGACAGTCAAGAAGTAGTTGGTACCGGTTTACCGGTTAGCTCAGACGTGAAGAGACCCAAAGGGGAAAAGAAAGTAACTGTGCAAGCTAGTTCAAACCTCCAGCGCTTTGAGACTTTAGTATAAAGTGCTATATAAATCGAACCACATTACATTGCAATACCTGCTTTGCAGGGCAGACAAAATGTGTTAAAAGAAACTCGGAGGATGATCTCAACAGATAATATAATATAAGATAATAGGTTTAGAGAACTTATATTTTAAAGACTGTTAGAAGTGGGTGGAAAAAAAATTATGATTAAATTTAGTTTTCTGGTTTAGCAAAATGGTTTTGCCCAAAGCATCTAGGTTTAGAAGGAAATATAAACTTTTATTGAGAGGTACATCCGTCTTTGTTCAGCTAGAAAAAGTGTATCTAAAGTATTGATTTTCAGATATCCTTTTTTTGCTCTGACCATAAACAATATCAATAATAAAAACTGAAATAAACTGTATTTTATAATACTCTTACAATTTTTTTTCCTTCCTTTTCAGAATGTCGATTTTGTCTTGGCTTTTTAAAATATCCATGACTGTAAGAGTCATCCACACAGTTTTAACAGAGGACTACGGGATACCGCCATGGAGTTCCTACACTTTGTTTGCTCTCTTGACAATTGCTATTGGATTATTCCTTGGCTTGGTAAATCTCAAAAAAATATAATTCTATAGATTGAAAGATTTTCATCCTTTGATTGTTTCAGTTCCGGATGAAGATTTAATCAACACTGAAAAACAACATCTTTAGGGTCTGTTTGTAGTTGTTGTAGACTTACAGGGCTGTAGCTATAGAAAACTAAGGATGGGTTGTAGACATTTTAAGGGTGGGTGGGTGATAACATTGGTGAACTCTAAATAATAAGAGAGGATTTTAAGGATGGGCAAGGGGGTTAATAAAGGTGGGTGGAGGGCCACGAGATTAGCTTTAGACTGGGTGGAAAACATCAAGGCTGGGTGGTTCCGCCCACCATGGATTTACAGTCAATGCAACGGGTGACTATTAATATTAACATTAAAGCCCTGTCCAGACTATTAAATTATTTGACAAAAACATGTGACATGCCTAAATATGGCCATGATGACATCACATCATGACCATATATAGGCACATCATGACTGTATATGGGCAATCAACAGTTTTTGTCAAAGGAAAGCTGGACAGAGCATAAATTGGTGTGGTTTGGCAATTAGATGCTTGCCTTTATAGCTCAAGCTCCTTTGTTAATTCCTGGTTAAGTCTTGCACATCCAAAAAGCAACTCAACTCCAAAAGAACTTACAATGTTCCAAGATAATTCTCTGAATAGAACACCCTTCTTAAATACAGCATTAACAAAATAGCATTAAATTTATGCACTGATATCTAAATCAGTATTACTTAATTTGTATATTTCCATGCATTTTTAGCTTTTTACTGAAAATTAAAATGATTTTTTTTCACCTAGTAAAGGATTTTTGCTTTGTGACAGTAAATTTAAGAATTTTCATAGTAAAACAGCTATAAATAATTTTAAAAAAGCTATGTTTGATCTGTGATTTTACTGACAGTTTATAAATTATGTGTGAAGTAAGTTGTAAGTGAACAATTCGAGATGTATTTTAATTTTTATGTTTCCCTTTTTTTTGTGGTAGTTTATCTTTAATTTATAATGTATTTTGTTTTTTTATGGATGATTTTTATTTACAGATACTAGTCCTCATCTCTGATTGCATCTGTCCATCAAAAGCGCCAAAAGAGCCAGCGCAAACCACACCACCGGCACAGGACACCGAGCAAGATAAGGAAAAGAAAACTGGCAAGGATAAAAAAGGGAAACGACAAAATAAGAATGGAGAAAAGAAAGAAGAGAAAAGCAAGGAAGGGACAGAAGGGACTGAGTTACGTCAGCGAACAACTGAGGAGAGTTAATAGACGAAGTAATAATGCAGGTTTTTATTTGCAATATGTTGGTCATTTTTTTTAGCATTTCTTTTCTATAGAATTTTTAAGGGAACAAACTTAAATAACTTGAAAATTTGCCAATTTAATTAGTTCATTATATTGCTGAATACACTTGTGTTAACCCGTTCCAGTTTGTGTCACTACCATAGTGTGTGGCTGCAGACATTTTTATAAACAATCGCTTACCAACATCAATTGTGCTCTTTTACTGGGATCAGCCATTACAGTATATTTTTACTTTGAACTTTGACCCAATACATCAGGCAGCAATTACATCATTTACAAAAGTTGTTGAGGTCAGCAGAGCACAGATTAATATGGAATAGTGAGGAGCCAGAACAGTGAGACTTGGCGTGTGCTTTACAACGGCAAGGAAAAGGTGCATTATAAATGTCTGTACCAGAAACGTCTCCCCACGTTTAAGTTGATGGTACAGTAGATTAGGGTGTCTTATGACTGGAAGGGGTTAAATAATATGTATTTATGTTGTGTTAAGATGATAAAATCATGACAAAAACTGGTGAAAAATGGTGGACACAACATAAAATTTGCTCTAGTTGGATGCATACACAAGAGTGATTCCATACCAACTCAACCAATTTTCTTTGTGTTTCCTTGGTAACCATTTCAGATGTTGATGAAACTTTAACCAAATATACATTAAGGAGTGTATTTAAACATCCTTAGTTTTAGTGGAAATTTCAAAATAGTTTTAGCGCCTTCTATTTTTAATGTCACACCACTTTTTTCACACACACTTGAGTATCGTCTCAATGCTTTGGAGCATTATTGAAAGCATGGTTTTCTAAATATGACTGGAAACTGAAAATTGCTGAAAAAAATCTTAAAAGGTGGTCACTTGTAACCACTGGTAGATTTGGCATAAATTAATCACAAGTATTTTTTACTAGTACATGGTACCAGATTGATGATAAAGTATATTCTCAACACCATTATTAAAAGTAGAATAATCAATTTATATTTTTAAACAGTTACAGCCTTTTCAATTAAACAGTATGTTCAGGATTAACGAAATAATCAAGATACAGTATGAAAATAGATTTTTTTACAATCCTAATGGCAATTTTAATTGATTGATAATTATAAAGGGCTTCGTATTTGGTCTCTATGCCCTTAAAAAGTGAAAAAGCACAGGGGTTGGGGGTCAATAAATATATTTACAGCATATTAGTAAAATAAACAAAAAATAGTAAATACATGCAAAGTGGTAAATCCAATTTCTGTCTTCATAACATTTATTTATACAGTTATCAGGGTATAAAGGATCTGAGATTTGTTTAAATTTAGTTTGTTACCAAGTTCACTAACTCAAGAATTATTGATAGAGTGAAAGCTTTTTGAGGTAATATACATCTCGTCTTCCATTGGTATCATTTATATAGACAGAAAGCCTTCCAAAGTCTCACTAGAAAACTAGGGGATATCCTAGTGAATCCTTGTAAGCTGATTTTCGAGACATTTTTATGCAGAAAAAAAAAAAGGAGAAAAAAGCTGGCAAAAATAGTTTTATAAAATTTGTAGACCTGCATGTAATTTCATTAATGATTTGTGTTAATGTAAGCTAAGTATTATTACCTTCAAAAGCCTCACAATTTCCCCAAGGTTTTTCACCAGTCTCACAATGATCATTAATCGTAAATTGATCTTGCACAACGATCTAGTCCTACTGATGTCACAAAGTCTCACAATTACCACAATTTTTAAATTGATATCACACAATTTGTTGATGTCAGTCTCACAATGATCATAAATCTTAAATTGATCTCACACAATTAGTCCTACTCATGTCACAAAGACTCAAAATGATCACAAATCTTAAATTAATCCACAATTAGTTCATGTTGCACAGTCTCACAATGATCATAAATCTTAAATTGATCTCACACAATAAGTCATACTGATGTCACAATTCTCATGATGATCACAAATCTTAAATTGAGCTCATGCAGTTAATTCTAATGATGTCACAAAATTTCACAGTAAGTCTTAACTTGCCTCCCAGAATTCTTCAGTGACCTCACAAAGAATATAGTAATAATTCAAATTGGAAATCAAAAATTTGGGGTGGGACACACAGTGCAGCCCTTCCCAACTTAACTACAACACCTAACGGGCACATACAGATACAAACATTGTCCTTAACCAGCCTAACACTCAATATGATGGTTATTTGAGGAGCAAAGTAATCAGGCTCCAATTAAAAACCCAATGCTGGTCGGGTTCTGAACCGGGGTGTACAGCACAAGAAGCAGGAACAATACCGCTTGCCAACTGCTCAGCAGGTCAAAGCCTCTCAATGATCACATGCCCTACTAGCCTTCCACAGTTCCGCAGTGTTCAAAAGTTCCACTGGCAAATTCCCTTCCTCATAACTTACTGAATAGATATAGATAAATAAAGCTTGTTTCTGTATGATGCATGCATAGTATTACAGTTTATTTATTTTCGTAAATATAAATACTGTTTTAAATTTTAATTCTGAATATTATGCTAAACTATTTCCAGTACTCTTTGTATCGGGCTTGTTGTTCTATTTACATTCCATTGACTTAATATATTTTTCAAATGTCCTATTAAGAGAATTTGGTTTAAGTGATATTTTGTAATTTGGTTAAGTATCAGTTAATGTAGATAAGAGATCTGTTTATGGTATTTTAATATAGGTGGCTTACCCACATGTTAGCATGTATGGAAAGCCAAATCTGCCAAATATATGTTAACAACTCATACAACAAAAACTCAAACCATGCTTTCGAACGTAAGTTAAACCATTCATTCAAAAAGCAAATCTGATCAAACATCAAACACATTCATTCAAAAATTTTGTTTTCAGTGTATGGGTTGATTAACATATTTTTTGGTAGAATTGGCTTTCCATAAGCATGACCTTCATCATTGCCCATCACAGGGGTGAAGGGTGCATGTATTTGCATTAGGATGAATTTGGGCTTGCTTGGATCATGTGTAAACAATGAGATTGCCACATTAATATGTCTGAAATTTAGGAAAGTTTCTTCAAATTTAATTTTCTTTTATCGATTACTTTTTAGGAATATTTTTTTTCAATTTATGGTGATTACATTGATTTCTTTTGTTTCTTAAGATAAATAATTTCTATTTATATCTTTATTTCCCAGTTCCTTTGCACCAGAAAACTTGAATAATGTAATGGGACTTTTTTCCAAATCCTTCCAAACAATAGACTCATGGTTCTTCTGCAAGTAATTCTATGCAAAAATATAATCTTGAATTTGTCAAATAAACTCCTTGTTTCATGTTAAGAGCTGAAATTGAAGTTTTGAACAAATTGTTGGTTCAAATGCTTTGTCTATTTAAATTTCTATCACATGAATGTTGTATTATGCTGCTTGTAACCTAAGCTGATATTAGAAAATCAGTTAAGGTAATCCTACAAGATAAGTATTAGATGATAATGCATCAGGATCATAGAGATATAGGTTGTCTGGAGTGTGGTCTCCTCATTAAATTGGTCCTTTTTGAAACTTCCTCTGTGATTTATGGTTATGCACCAATACACGGTCATACAGTGGTGTACTTAGGAGTCTAGAAAATGGGGAGGTGGTCATGTGGGTCTCAAAGTGAAGGGGGAAATCCATGGTTAAGTGAGAAGAAGCTAGCTCGCAGAATCAAGTGATATGACGTGATTTTTAACTACTTTAGTGTATTTTTTTTTTGCTTCAAACATATATTGTTGGCGGGGGTGATTGGGGGGGAGGGGGTGAACAAACTTTTTTTGGGAGTGGAAACCCACCCCCATTGAGCTTGCCCATGTTTTGTCATTATACACCTCCTAGTGCAGCATTGATATGACACTGGAAATTATGGCACTTTTACTGTCTCCATGGCTACCTATCTCATATTCAATCAAGCAACTCCATCGCACACTTTAGTTTAGAATACTTATAACTATGTGATCAGAACAAGCCACCTCCTTCCATTTTGTTCGCAAATTTATTTGTCACCACTGCACTGTATCAACTATTTCTATTTTTTATCAGAAAGTAAAATGAATCATACTTACAAAATTAAATGTACTTAGTGTCTTCAAATTATTATAATAAACCAACTTCTGCTCTTACTTTAAACTTTTTCAAGTTTCATAAAAATAAATTGATAAAAGACAAACGTGTTTTTGTGTGTTATTGGTATACCAGCGTGGACAAATACTGTACTTGTTTTGCTCCAGTGGAAAGTTACTTTTTCAGTTGTATGAATAAAGGCGTCTCGGACGGGATGCGATTGCGAACTCTCGCTATAAAAGTGAATGCCACACCCTTACTCCACAACATTTGATACTTGTGCATATTACCTTGCAAATATGGATAAATTTTTCATTCCTGATGATGACATAATTTATGTCGAAATATTGAATCCCGTCACGATGGCGTGCATTTCGATACTATCTTATCTAAGATTCTAAGATATATCTAAGATCAGTGGACCTTTCAGTTTTTACTCCACAACGACCTATACAATATAGGCAAGATCTGGCCTTGTACAACTAACTGCATAGAATGATAACATATATAAGCGCCTTTAAACATGACTATGAATGTAGTAATATAT